CCCCAAAACCCCAAAACCCCAAAACCCCGTTAAGTGCAATAATATTATAATTTTTGTGAAAGAAAATGAAATAATAATTATCATCAATCTATCTTCAAACTTTTGCTCACATTTTTATCTTTCTTGCATGTGACTATATTATAAATCTGTTTCATTAAAGCGATGAATAATGCGACAATAGCTATGACTATGAGAGCAATTGCAATGTTGACATCCAGATCATATAGTTAGAATTTATTGAAATACTGATATTGGTTAGCTTAAAGGAACTCAGTTGTTCTAATATCCATCAAATAGTCAACCCAGTAAAGCAGATCTAGTCCTTGTTGTCTCTTCTTCTCAATCATTTTCTTGAGGATCTTTACCCTATTTTTTATATCATTATTTTACTCAACATAATTCACCATTTCATTGATATGATATGCATCAGGTTTAAAAACACATGCTCCCAACTTTTAAGCATGAACATACTCGCATACGAAGTACTAATCCATCGCCAATACTGGAATAACCACTAATGGTTTTTCTGCTTCAATAGACTCAATGTAACTTGATTATCCCCCGTGACTAAAGAATATCTAAACTTTTGGATTATTCAAGATTTAAGTTTAGGGTAGCCATTTGGCAACATATACATTTTCAAGTCTTTCGATTTTTTCAAATATACTACTTTCAAAATATCCCTTATTTCTTGTTGCGTAAATAAAGCCATAGTCAGTTCTTTTTTCCATAAAATTTGATATTTCTCTTAAGGTTTAATTAGTTGGGTTTTGAATAGTTCCAAATGCAATAAGTATAAGCTTCTCATGTCTATTCATGAACTCTTAGAGTTCTTTAGGGATTTCTTAATGCACAGATTCATCTTCTGATATAAATGGGATAATTCTGGAATTTGGTGAAAGAGCTAAAGGAGGGGAAAGACCTTCAAAGCCAGAGTAAAGTATTAAATCTGGAGCTCTAAAAGTTGTCGCTTCTAATTTAAGGTGTTCAGGTATCACTTAATGATGCTTGTAAAAAATAATCTCAAAATAGATACCCAAAAATAGATACTCAGAAAGTTTACTCTTTAATCTAGTTAAAAAACTGCCAGTCAAAGAGTTAAAACCTTTATGCTTTTCCATTCCAAAAAGTGTAGTTCTGCTAGTATGAGATTAAGATGAATGAGAAGCGTGCTATTTCAACATTGTTTACATTGTACTATCAGGATTACTGATTACTAATCTGATATATAAAGGTATCTATAAAGTGTTTGCGATAAGTTCAGCCTCAGGGAAAGGGCCGCAAACTATCATATCGAATTTAATTGACTTGATTTAATTGATTAGATCTTCGTTGCTGTAGAAGGATTTAACGATAGCAACAGAATAAGTTATCATGTCATCTATTTAAACATCGTTGATCTTCATTTTCTCTTCATAGTCTTTGATAATAGATTATGTAAGGTTTCTATTTAAAATGGGAATAACTCCATTTGCTTTAACTTTTTCAGTATAAGGGGAATCAATAGGCAGTAGTTGATAAACTTCGTAATTTTTATTCTTACTTAAATCCTTCGTCACATGATACCAAAGTCTAGGATGACTAGCAAATAATGGTCCAACTACAAGTATTTTCTCTTTATGCTTATCCAGATTTAAATCCTGCTCAGGTATGTTTGCCCCAATGGATTAAAGAGTCAATAGTAAAATGTATAAATAGATTGCTATCATAAATTTGATTATTATTCTAAAATCACCAATTAAGATGATCAATAATAAGCATGGGGTTTTGGGGTTTTGGGGGTTTGGGG